TGCACAGTTCTTTTTTCTTATCTGCTTTTATATTATTTTAAATTTTTCATGGCTCTAACACAGACATAATAAATCAGCACTTCAACTAGGTATCTGATGTATTGGGGGAATTTATTTTTATTTTTTTCTTCTAGTTTTACAATAAGCACAGTTAAGCTCATCTCAGGGTTTTACAGACAAAAACAAAAGTAGCAACACAAAAAAATAGACAARTACCTACAGAAAACAAATAAATTCAGTCTTTAAGCGTTTCTGAGACATAATGACCACAGACACTGTGTGGATGAAGCTAAATGAACATTTATCTCCTTTCAAACAGAAAAAAGGCAAACAGGAAGTTTGGTAATAAGAGGCATATGTATATACAGTAGATATATATGAATAACTACATTAGATAAGGCCTATACAGCTACCATGTTTGATATGTACTGTAATCACAGTTCTTATACACTTTATCACAGTTACAAAGAGATGTTCTAAAGTTTCAATAAAAAAAACAATAAAGGCATTGTTGGAGAAGTGTTTAAAGGACAGAGCAGGAACACTTGTCATGAATCRCAGGCGATCAAGGCAGGGAAGACTAATGTTTTCTACTCTAAAGTAACATTAAATACTGCATATCTTATTGCTGCCACAGGAACACCATGTGCAAATATGTTCAGTCCTAAATGAAGACGTTCGCACGGTCGGTTCTGTTGGGAGAAACGACACGAATGGACGACGCACGCACCTTCAACTTTAACTCTTATAAAAGATGAGTTGAATTTCTGGGTTTTACGTACCTCAAGTTGTTCACAGTCTAAACACATAAACACACACACACAGAAAAAAGAACATAAAAAAATCCACTCTAACTACTTTTACTGTGATGAATTTCAGTTGTGATTGCAAAATAATGCAGCTCATCACGACGCATGAATGTCATCAATTTGGGGCTTTTAATGKTTTATTTGAACAGTTTCTTTTTTCAGGGTGGAATAGTTGCAGAATGTACAACTTGAGTGGTTTTAAAAATGAGAAATGGAGCTTTTTTTTAACAAGAGGTTCTAAGTGTCCTAACTTGACAATGTAGTTACAGTACCTCCTGTTAGTGATCATGACTGACTGCAGTTAGTTATGCCAGAATAAACATTTGTGATTTGTGATGGCAAAACGAGTTGGAGTAAGCACACTCCGTACATGCCATAATTGACATTTGCATGAAAATGAGTCCACAAAGACAMCTTCCAGTGATACCAGTAAATAAARCATCATATAATTTTCCTGAACTAACTGTAAGCTTTCCAACAAATACAGTATGTCATTAGAGTGATGCTTGGCATTATAACCTTTAACTCTGTTTGAAATTGACCAATTTTCTCAGCTGGGAAATTCCTTCGTCTAATGTTTGCATCACCACCCGTGCACTTGTAAACACAATAGTGTTATTAAGTGTTACTGCCAAATTTAAACAAACTATTTTAAAGTTTTTGAGGAAATATTGATAACTATTGATGGAAAACATCCTCATTGTGACTCATTTAGCCAGCACAGCTCACAATTGTTTGGCAGCCMTTGTTTGACTATCTGTCACCCTCAAATGGAAGAAAATAGTAGGTTGTCTAAAAACTTCACCCCAAAATTATGTGTAAAGTGAACAATGGAGGACCAAAGATGGATCCTTGAAGAACACCACGACCGAGGGGCTAGGACAGGAACATTTAGGAGTAACCAAATTTAAAGCCACTATTTCAAGTACCTCTTCATTGTCAGCCAACTAGTGTTTTTGTTTGTTTGTTTGTTTTTGTTAAACAACCGTATGGTCAGAGCAGCTTCATTGATCCAGCACTTTAACATTTGGCTCATTCAGATAAAGAGGTAAAAAAACGTACACAACTCTTAAAACAAGGCTCAGAGAGTTGGTTTTATGATAATATAAAAATAAAATCAAATAAAAGCACAGTAGAGTTTGGCCTCGCTTTTCAGTGATTGTCTTTGTGTTTGGATTGCTACTCAGAAGTCCCACACAGCCTCTGCGGTGCTGACCGATGATGGAGCGTGGCACAGGGGGCCCGGGGGGCTTGACACCGGGGGGTCCTCGGGGCTTGAGAGGGGCACCGCTGGGTACATGAGACTGAGGAAGGAATCTCTGGTGTGCCTCTTCACCTGGCAGGCAGCAGAAAGATTCAGCTCCAATCATGTAACTTTACACTTAAGGACAACTATCTTTATCCAAGTTAGTATAATGGCTAGCAAAAGGAGTGCCAGTTTTTAACACATACATGCCTWGTTCCATTGATAAAACAGCAACAAACTTTACAGAACTTTACAGTGGGTGTCACACAAGATGGTCACAGCAGTATGTCATTTTTTTTTTTTTAAAGTTGTTTTTATACGCCTGATAAGCCAGACAACACTTGTTTGGCTAGCCAATAGCCTAGCCATGGTTAGCAAAATGAGTTTTTTTTTAGTATTAGCATCATGTGAAAGCATAGAGGTTTATGATTAGCTAATATAACATTCATTCACAGCAGTTTGCCATTAAAAAAACACTATTTTCTAAGTTTGGAAGCACTTATTTGGCTAGCCATTAGCCTAGCCATGGTTAGCTAAAGGAGTGCAAGTTTTTTTTWGTCACTCGCATCATGCAAATGTGAAGAAATGTATTAGCTAATGAAACATTCTTTCATAGCAGTCTGCCATTTTTGAAAAAAAGAAGGTTGTCTTATAAGCCTGATAAACTCTAATACAACACTTGTTTTGCTAACCATTAGCCTAGTCAAAGCTAGCCAAATGAGTTTCATTTTTTTACTACTAGCATCCTGCAAAAGCATAGAGGTTTATTATTAGCTAATGTAACACTTCTTCACAGCAGTATGTCATTAAAAAAACACTTTATTTCCTAAGCTTGAAAACACTTGTTCTTGTTCAGTTGAAATAACAGTGAGAAACTAAACAAAAGGTCTAGAGTTCATTTTAACTAATGTAGTGTACTTTCACAGCCGTCTGTCATTTTTGAGAATTGTTTTAAAGGCTTTCAAATGCTGACAATCAACACTTATTCGGCTAGCAATTAACCTGGCCATGCTCTATGACAGATATAGCTTGTAAGGCACTAATTACAACTGTTTTACAATTTGTTGCATTCTGGACGGGTTCTTCTCTAATGAAACGTTTCGTCTCTCCTCCAAGAGACTTCTTCAGTCTGAGAGTTTCAGGCAAAATTCAGGCTTTTGAGTCCTGCCTCCAGGTGACTGATACATCACATGGCTATCGTTCACAGGTGACTGAGTATCAGTCACCTGGAGGCAGGATTCAAAAGCCTGAATTTTGCCTGAAACTCTCAGACTGAAGAAGTCTCTTGGAGGAGAGACGAAACGTTTCATTAGAGAAGAACCCGACCAGAGGACCTATAC